AAAAATGTAATTTTTTTTTAAAAATTTAAATTTATAAAATATAAATAATGCCAAAAAATCAAAACACTCGCAAGTTTAACCAAATATTCTGTGTCTTGGTAGTTTCTACAATGTCTTTGCATCAAAGTCAAAGAGCTTCCTATCTGGGTTTGAATTGCTTATACATCCATTGTTTCTTCTCTTTTTCGCTGAACACAAAACTATTAAACAAGCTATAAAAATATGAAAAGTTGTGCCCATTCTTGAGAGTGAAGAGGGAAAGAACAAAATGCAAAATCTTGAAGTCTTCTGCATTTCTTTGCCCACTGCCATGGCCGATCACTTCACCATGAACTGGTGATCTGGTCAAAATTTCCACCCCACAGCCCAATACTGTCATCTTTCCTCCCAGAAAATACATAACTAGTCATTGTCATGGACAAAACGAGTACTGGATACCTTAAATTTGCAAACAAAGAAGAAGCAGGAAAACTATATGGGCCACTGCTGCTGCAACAAGCAGAGGGGGCATGGGGGCCTCTGGTCTCCTGAAGGAGATGAAACGCTTATCAAATATACATCACTGAACATGCCATAGAAGATGTTGGAGTATGTTTTGCCCACAACAAAGCTAAAAATACCATAACACTTTCCTCTACTTTCTTCTCTCTCTTTTTTTTTTTTTCCTCCCATATCTTTTCTACAAATCTTCATTACAAATCATTAAATACTTCGAAATTCCTCCTGTTTTATGATTAATGGTTTTCCATTTTCCTCCTTTTCCATTAATTATCACACACAAAAAATGATCTTAAAAATTCCATCCCTCTCTGTATTGTTGAAACCTGAAGGAAAGAGGGAAATAGAGAGAGTAATTAGCAAAAAGAAAGAAAGAGATCAAGAATATGGCAGCCCAATTACCAGCGAAACAGATTTGAGGCTTAATTCCGGTCACTCGTGGGGAAGAAGGGAATGACAAAGAGTAAAGTAGGGACAAGATGGTAAATAAGAGTTTGTGGGACCCATAGTTCTGTGTAACGTTTTGAGACTGGTTTCAATTTCTAAGTTTTAAAGTACACGATTCGTGGCGAAAGCAGGGGGAGAGGGATGGAGCCAGTGGTGAAAGGGCAACTGCCATTAGCATTCCTCAATTGAAGAAAGGGAGTTTGACTCTCAGTTTCAAAAAATTCTCTATGTTGAACTAACTCAAAATAAAAAATAAAAAATAAAAAATAAAAAGATAAAAAAGAGAAGTCCGCATTCCGCAAGCGGACTTAAAAAGAAAAAAAGAAAAGAAAAGAAAAGAAAATGGTAGTCCGTAAGCCCAAAAAAGAGGGTCCGTAAATTTTGGGTCAAGAAAAGTCCATTGAAACGGGCTCAAAAAAATAGAAAAAGGGTGAGCCCAAGGAGCAACGAGAAAAAGAGGGGATCATTTTGAGATTTCACAACTGCTGTCTCGTTCGGTATATAGAGAAGAAGAAGAAGGGGAAGAGGAGGAATAGCAACCTTCAAGATTTTGAAAGTAGAAGTATGTGCATTGAAGAACCCTAAATTTGTTTTTTATTTTAAAAAAAATTTATTGTAATTTATATTTATTATTTTATAAATTCATATACATTATTTGATTTTGCAGGATATTTGCCTAACATGGATGATGAACCGATTTCTGGCTTCTGGCCGGACGAGACTCCGTCGCTTAATGGTCTTTTTCGGGAGGAGCCGTCACGCTCTGAATTCAAGATTGATGGTGCAGTTAACCCAAATTTGGATCTTCTTGGTGAGAAAGAAACTGAAGAAGCTGGACAACCGACTGAAACCTCATCCTCCGCTCTTCCAGCGGCAGCAGTGGAAGAGGACTTTCTGAAGGTTACTCAGTCTTCTGCCATGGAGGATACTTTTTCGATATTTGAGATATTTGACTTAAATCAGTTATTTATTTTTAAGGTAAACTAGAAGGTTTTAGGAAGTAGAGGATTTATTTTGCAGGGCAAGGTTTTAGGAAGTGGAGGTCATGGCAAGGGAGGAGGATTCTTTCTGAATGATTGGGCTGAGTTACAGGTGAGTATTTGAAAATTAAAAGGGTTGTATA